TCCATATTCTCAACATTCCTTGGGTTCCCTGTGGTCCTGCACCATGGGACTGTCTTGATCCTGCTCCCTGGACCTGCCAAGAGGTCCCTATGGACCTGCCATGGGGTCCCTATGGTCTTGTCAAGGTCCTCATGGTCATGCCCTGTATCTCCATGGTCCTGACTTGGTCCTGCCTCATGTACCTGCACCAAGTTCTCTATCGTCCTGCCAAGGTTCTTCCCCATGGTTCTGCCATGCAGACTCCATAGTTCTTGCATCCTTGACCCTACTCGGGACCCCCATGTTCCTGCTTGTATCTCCATGGTCCTGACCTGCTCCTGCCTCATGGACCTGCCACRTATCTTCACGGTCCTGCCCAGGTTTATCCATTTATCCCCTTGGTGGCCCTGTTTCAGGCCATAGTGGTGACAATTTTCACCACCCTCCAACTGTAGCCCAAAAGCCACCAGCTCCATAGGTGTCCTCAAAGCCACCAGCTCCATAGGTCTCCTCAGCTCTTGCCTGGAGGCCCCACGACCATCAGAAGACCTTGCACAGCCTTGAGGACACGACCAGGAGGACCTCCTTGGAGCAAGGCTGACACTTTATTGCCAGGGGACACCGGAGGAGACRCCCCGGTCACACGCTGGTGGCCTGGCCGTCGTCGCCGCTCCGATCCCGGCTCGGCGCCCGGYGCCCCGTCCTGAACGGGTGGCCCAGGAGGTGGGCGATGGTGCCGCGTAGCTCCTGGTGCTCCCGCTCCAGCGCCAACAGACGCGTCTCCTGCGGGGCCACCGCGTGAGCCCTGCGCCGTGGGGACAGCAGCGCCGCGCTGGTGGCCCCCTCTTACCAGCGCTCGGCCCTTCTCCTCGCTGGCCTTCAGCCTCTCCAGGTCCTTCTTGCGGGCGCCCTCGGCAGAGGTCAGCCTGGAGGAGACCAAGATTTGGGTGCCCTGTGCAGACCCATCACCACCAGGTGCCCTGTGCAGACCCATCACCACCACCACCATGTCCTGAGTTGGGTGCTCAGTGCAGACCCATGACCACCATGTTCAGAGTTGGGTGCCCAATGCAGACCCATSACCACCAGGTGCCCAATACAGACCCATCACCACCATCATGTCCTGAGTTGGGTGCCCCATGCAGACCTATCACCATCACCATGTTCTAAGTTGGGTGCCTGGTGCAGACCCATCACCACCATGTCCAGTGTTGGGTGCTCAATGCAGACCCATCACCGTGTTCTGAGTTGGGTGCCTGGTGCAGACCCATCATCACCATCATGTCCAGATKTGGGTGTCCCTTGCAGACCCATCACCACTGTGTCCAGATTTGGGTGTCCAGTGTAGACCCATCACCACCATGTCCAAATCTGGATTCCCAGTGCAGACCCATCACCACAAGGAGCCCAATGTAGACCCATCATCACCACCATGTCCAGATTTGGGTGTCCAGAGTAGACCCATCACCACCATGTCCAGAGTTGGGTGCTCAATGCAGACCCATCACCATGTTCTGATTTGGGTGCCTGGTGCAGACCCATCACCACCACCATGTCCAGAGTTGGGTGTCCMKWGYAGACCCATCACCACCATGTCCAAATCTGGGTTCCCAGTGCAGACCCACCACCACCAGGTGCCCAAAATTGGGTTCCTGGTGCAGACCCATCACCACCACCATGTCCTGAGTTGGGGGAAAGCTACAACCCCCCATCCCTCGGACCCCTCCATCCCCACCCTGGTCCCCCCCGCTCCCTACCTGGCGCCCAGGTTGGCGAGGCGCGCGGTGGCCTCCTCCAGCTGCCCCTGCAGCCGCTCCAGCTGCTGCCGCTGCCGCTCCTGCTCCTCGCGCAGCCCGCGGCGTTCGGCCTCCGCCGCCTCCGCCCGGGCCTCCGCCGCCAGCTGCCGCTGCCGGCTCTCGGCCACCTCCTCCCGCAGCGCCTCGAGGAGCCGCCCGTGCTGCCAAGAGGGGCGGCAGCGTCGGAGGAGGCCACCAGGCAACGGGGATGGGGTTGGGGAAGCCACCGCCCAATGGGCACGTCAATGGTTGGGGAGGCCACCAGCCAACAGGTATGGTGTTGGGGAAGCCACCACCCAATGGTCACGTCAATGGTGGGGGAGGCCACCAGCCAATGGGGATGGCGTTGAGGGAGCCACCACCCAATGGAGATGCCACTGGGGAAGGCACCACCCAATGGAAATGTCATTAGGGGAGCCACCACCCAATGGAGATGGTGTTGGGGAGTCACCACCCAATGGAGATGGCGTTGGGGAAGACACCACTCAACAGGGATGTCATTATGGAAGCCACCACCCGACGGGGATGGCATTGGGGGAGCCACCACCCAATGGAGATGACATTGGGGAACCACCACCCAACGGGGATGGCTTTGGGGAAGACACCACCCAACGGGGATGTTATTAGGGGAGCCACCACCCAACGGCAATGGCATTGAGGGAGCCACCACCCAGTGGAGATGGCATTGGGGAGCCACCAGCCACCAGGGATGGCATTGAGGGAGCCACCACCCAATGGGGATGTCGTTGGGGAAGACATCACCCAACGGGGATGGCATTGGAGAGTCACCACCCAACGGGGATGTCATTAGGGAAGACACCACCCAATGGAGATGGCGTTGGGGAAGACACCACCCAATGGAGATGGCGTTGGGGAAGACACCACCCTACGGGGATGGCATTGGGGAACCACCACCCAACGGGGATGTCATTAGGGAAGCCACCACCCAATAGGGATGGCGTTGGGGAGCCACCACCCAACGGGGATGTCATGAGGGAAGCCACCACCCAATGGCGATGGCATTGGAGAGCCACTACCCAACGGGGACAGCATCCACCACCCAATGGGGACAGCATCAAGGAAGCCACCAGCCACGGGGCGCTGGCGTCACCTCCTCAAGCGGCCGCCCGGCGTAGAGCTCGCCGGGCCGCGCGGCCGCCGCCGCCTCCTCGGCGTAGCGCTGCCACGGCACCGCCGGCTTGCGGGGCAGCGAGGCCGAGAGCCGCAGCTTGGAGCGACCCTACGGGACACGCGGTTGGCGTCAGCACGTCAACACGTCAGTATGTCAACATGTCACCACCTCAACACATCAACATGTCAGCATGTCGACACATCAACACRTCAGCGCATCAACASGTCAGCGCATCAACACGTCAGCATGTCAACACGTTGACATGTCGGCACGTCAACACATCAATATGTCAACACACCAAGACATCGGCACGTCAACACGTCAACACATAGACACATCAACACATGAAGACGTCAAGATGTCAAGACATCAACACATCAACACGTCAGTACGTCAAGATATCAACACATCAAGACGTCAACAACCTGACGCGTCGACACATCGACACGTCAACAAATCAACACATTCACCACGTCAACACATCAACACGTCAACACGTCAACACATTCACCACGTCACCACGTCAACACGTCAACACGTCAACATGTCAACACGTCAACATGTCAACACATTGACATGTCAACACATCAACACATCAACATGTCGACACATCAACAGGTCAACGCGTCAACACGTCAGCACGTCAACACGTCAACACATCAATATGTCAACACATCAACACGTCAAGACGTCAACATGCCAACACGTCAACACGCCAACACGTCAAGACGTCAACATGTCAACACATCAACACATCATGTCAACCCATCAACACATCAACACGCCAACACGTCAGCACGTTGACACGTCAACACATCAATATGTCAACACGTCAACACGTCAACACATCAACATGTCAACACGTCAACACATCAACATATCAACACATCAAGACATCAACACATCAAGACGTCAACACATCAAGACGTCAACATGTCAACACATCAACACATGAACACATCAACATGTCAAGACGTCAACATATCAACATGTCAAGACGTCAACACGCCAACACGGCCAT